GTCAACCCCCATCCCGGCCCCTCCACCTGGGGTGCTCATCCCCCTCCTCAGGGCCTGTCTGGAAAAGGACTGTCCCCCCCCTCCCCGAACTTTCCAGCTCTCTGCAGAGCGGGAACAATCGTAGCCTTTGTCTTCCCTTAATCTCCTAGTTAGGAATTAAAAGGGGGGGAAAAAAACCCAGCAGCACAAAAGGCTCTTTTGCACGGGCAAAAGGGGGGGAGCGCAGGGCAAAGGCAGAATCCCCCAGCCTCAGCCTGGCCACCCCCCACCGTCCCCCCAGGATGTCCCCGCAGCTGCACCCGAGGGTTGGCAGCTTGGGGAGCATCATCTGCTCCCTCAGCCCCCCAGAGGTCCTCACCCACCAGCTGCCCTGGGAGGTGGCAGGGAGTATCTTTGGGGAGGCTTGGGCTGGACTTGCCCCCCGTGGGCCAAGTGCCTCCTTTTGTACACCAAAGTGCCCAGAGACACCCACACCAGCCCAGCGCAGGGCTTCCCGCCACCCAGAGCCCCCCAAGAACCACACAGGCACTGCAGACCTCCATAAAATTCCTTAAATAATTTAATTGAAAAAAAAGTCTTTCCGTTAAAAAATATTTTTACAAATGCACGCTCGCATTCATTTCCCTTGCTGCTGTTTTTCACTGTTGCTTTTCCTTCCCCATCGAACACAGCTTTCCCCCTGTACATAACTGTATAGAAAGGGAGGTGGCAGGTACAGCATGAGAAGAGCCCCTGGGTGCAAAACAGGCAGCACGGGAGGGGAGGAACCGAGGCTGGAAGGGAGACCCGGGGCCACCTGCAGGGATGCTGCGTTCTGCCCCATGGGAGCAGGGTGGGCTCAGAGGTGGCAGGGAGGAGGAGCTTGTTGTGGGCTTGATGTTTAAAATAAGTAGAAACCCTCCCAAAACAAAGCCAGGCCAGGATAGAGGGTGAAGGTGGGGATGTCTGGTATGCACTGGGGCTGGTGGGATCCCAAACCTTGCAGCAGCAGAACCCTCACAGCACTGGGACGAAGGAAGCAGGGGCAGCTCCTGAGCTCCAGAGTGCTTGCAAGGAGGTTAACAAGACCCAAATGGGCTCTAACACCTCTTTGGCCACCTGCTCTTAAAAGCTTCCAAATGCCAGGCTGCTTTGCCTGATCTGGGAGAGGAGCAAGCTCTGCCAGCTGCTGTTTGGGGTTCCACCATGATGGGGGCCAGGAAGCAGCCAAAGCAGAGAGCCAGCCAGGATGGGCAGGGCTGGGAGATGCCAGTGAAACAGGACTGCAGCATAACCAGCAACCAGTATCCCTGATATATCCCATGGAAAATGGACAGTGGGATGAAGGAAGCCTGTTCCCAAGCATAAGGACCTGCTGCCAGCTGCCCTCCTGGCCTTGTTTACCATTACCTGGAAAGGAGGACAGGGTTAATAAGAAACCGAAGGGCAGGTGAGTTTCAAGGAAAGGGGAAAAACAGCACCTGCTCGGTCAGCCGGGAGAGGAGGGGAGCAGGGCCAAGTACCACATTTCAGATAGCACCCACTTGCCTCTCTGCACTGCCAGAACAGCATCCCTGTAAGCAAGCCAGCGAGGTGCACTGCAGCTGGGGGGGTGATAGAACCTGAGAACCCCCAGCATGAGCAACCCCAGCATCCCACTCAGCTATGACAGAGCAGGACCCAGGCCGAGAGTTTTGGATCCCCCTGGCCCAGCTCTCAACAGTGACAACCCTCAGGGGGGCTACCTTGCTGTCTGCACTTGTGTGTGCCCCCCTGGCTCAGCAGGTGCCATTTCACATCAAGAAGGAGCAAGGCTTAGGCTGGTGATTCAGGGATGCTGGTGGCTGTTGCAACACTCCTGCCAGGGCTGGGCTCTGCCTGGGGAGAGCAGGGGAGGAACCAGTGGTCTGTGGGAGCCCCTGGGGCTGTGGGGTGTGCAGTGAGCCTGGCTACTCCCCACTCAGTGTTCACACATCACATTTCTGCAGTTAGTTCCAGCTTGACACAAGGAAGGGATGGAGAGGGGAAAAAACAGCATCTCTGAGTGTATTAAATGGAGTTTCATGGCTTGCTTTGCCCTGGAACTTGTAACCTTCAGCCTACGCACCCCTCAGGAGGAGCACACTGGATCCCCAGGCACTGCAGGGTGGGCAAATCACTGCCTGGCCCAACCCTGCGGCAGCACCGGTGCCGAGAGGGACGCTGTGGGACCACCTGAATACATGACAGAAAGTGGAATGGGGAGCAGAGAGGGCACAGAGCCAGCCTGGGGCTGGCCAGGAGGAGGACCTGGGGGGCAGCAAAGCTGCAGGCAGCCAGGCTGGATTCAGGGAGAGCACGATCGAGCAAAGGAAACTCCGGTAAAATTCTTATTGCCTTTATTCTGCCCATTGCCTCACACAGTCCTGCCGGCCAGCACACACCCACACACGCATGCACACACTCACGCACACTCAGGCACGCTGGGAGTCTCCTCGGCTTGGAGGAGCCGGGCTGCAGGGAATCCTCAGGGAAAGGTGAGTGAGTCTTTTGGCAGCAATCACAGCGTGTGTCAGGAGCGGGGCGGCTGCGCCGGCAGCACCCGCTCCTTCTCTGCATAAAGGGGGGGGCTGGGGGCGGCCTCAGCCCCCGGCGCAGCCCCCACCCCAGCCCCATTCTCCAGTCCCTCGGGGGGGAGGGGGCTGCCATCGGTCCGGGGGCGGAGGGTCCCTGTGCAAACGTGCTGATGGCCTCGCTCTGCAGTCCAGAGCCGGCCAGGAGAACCAAGAGGGTAAGAGATGTGGAGCCGGGCACCTGGTCCCCCTCCCTCCCCTTTCTGCTCCCTTGTATTTAATATCTCTCTTTTTTTTTCTTCTCTCTTTTTTTTTTTTTTTTTTGCTTTTTTGTTTTGTTGGTTTTTTTTGTGTTTTTTTTTTCCTAACTCCCTGCATAGTAAATCTCATGGGGTTCGGGTTTTGGCGTGCAAAGCCAAGAAAGGGAGCGAAGCCTTCCCTTTGGACACATTCCAGCGCAGACCCTCGGGCAGAAGGGCTGCCAGGGCTGGAGAAGAGGGGTGATTGTCTGGGGCCAATGGCCCCGGCCCTGTTGCTGGCTCAGCCTGCCCCAGCTGCTTCCATGCGGGGACCAGAGTTAGGGAAGGCTTCGGACATGTCTGACGGACTCAGCGGACGGGTCAACAGTCTGTGGCCTCGGGGAGGGATGGGAAGTGAAGACTTGAGGGAAAATGGGGTGAAAAGAAATCCAAGAAGCAGAACAACTCTTCAAACCGATAAGCACCGAGACAGGGCGGGAAGCAGGATGTGCCATCTCTGTCCCATAATCCATCTTCAATATGAAGATGCGTTGCTGCCTCGCCGCTCCAGGATACGGGACGAAAAGCTGGGCTCCCTCTCGGCACAAGTGCCTCCGGATCCAGGGAAGGGTGGCCCGTCCCGTTCCATCCCAGGTGACTGTCCGAGGCAAAGGAGTGCCGTGTGAAGGGGGAAACGGGATCCGGGCTGCACCACAAACTGAACCTGGTTGGCAGGTTCCCTCAGTCCATTCCAACGCAGAGTCCCCTCTGGTCAAACCTGCACCGGCAGTGTCTGGTTCATCTGCAGCCTCATGTCCTGAATGCTACTCAGGATCTTCTTCTGGTGCCCTGCTAGCGTCACCCCTATCCTCAGCAGGTCTCTGCAAGGAGAAGGTGAAGACTCAGCCCCCTGCCACCAGCAATACCAGCACGGGGCCCTGTCACATCTAGCTGCTGCCAAGGGACCCATCTTCCTTACAGCTCTCTGCCAAGCACCAGTGTCCTAACAGAGGACTAGATGCTGAATCCCAGACCTTCACCCACTTGGGAAAACCCCATGCACAACTCAGCTCTCCACATACGCTCAGGCAGGAAGAGCTGCCTGCCAGAGAGGCAAGGAATGTGCTACTGCCCCAGCTCTCTCCCTCCTGTGCCCCCAGGGACTTACTCCGCAGTCATCTGTGCCACCAGGTCGAAGGAGGCAAAGCCAGCATTGACAAAGTTCTCCTTGTACCGTCCCATTTTGATGGCATCCAGCCAGTCTCCTACGGTGGTGAAGGTGGTGTAATCTGGGACAGTGCGGTCCAGAAGAGGCTGGGAGATGCTAAAGGGCAAGAGAGACACAGGTCACAGGGAGCAGGGGACATAGAGGTGTAACTGGAAGTAGGGAAGATTTCTTATCCCTGCCTTCCCACATCTCTTGTCCCAACCACCCCAGCACTCCTCAGGCTTAGGGGGAGTCCTGGCAGGGTGGGGATGCCACTGACCCAGACTGGACACTGGCGATCACTTTCAGGCTGGCAGCGTTGCGGATCAGCTTGTCCAGCGTGTTGACGATCTGTGCAAACTTGGGCCGCAGGTTGCGGTCCCGCACCCAGCAGTCCAGCATCAGCTGGTGCAGCGCTGTGGGGCAGTCCATGGGGGGTGGCAGGCGGTAATCCTGCTCCACGGCATTGATCACCTGTGGAGACACATGTGGAGGCAGGCTGTGAGTCACCCAAGCCCTCAAGGGTGGCCCAAAGCTTCCCACTCCTCAGGTAGTACTTACGTCCTGGTTGGACATGTCCCAGTAGGGTCGCTCCCCGTAGGACATCACTTCCCACATGACGATGCCATAGCTCCACACATCGCTGGCTGAAGTGAACTTGCGGTAGGCAATGGCCTCAGGAGCCGTCCATCTGATTGGAATCTTGCCTCCCTGCAGGGATACACAGCTCCATTATTTAGCACATACGTGGGGTGTCTCCCCCCACCCGTGGATCAGTGGACCCCTCCTAATATCCCATACCAGGGAGCTGGTGTAGGTGGGGTCAGCTGGGTCATCCTCCAGAAAGCGTGAGAGCCCGAAGTCAGACACTTTGCAGACCAAGTTGCTGTTGACCAAGATGTTGCGGGCGGCCAGATCCCGGTGCACGTAGTTCATCTCTGAAAGGTACTTCATGCCAGCAGCGATGCCTCGCAGCATTCCCACTAGCTGGATGACTGTGAACTGCCCATCGTTCAGCTGCCATAGGAGAGATCAGAGGGGTTTGTAACCAGGGAATGATCCCAGTGTGCTGCCACCACCTTTGTCCTCCCTAGAGCTACATATCTTTTCCCACCCCACAAAGTCCATGCACAGCTTAGCTGTTAGGATGCCAGCATGACAATGCAAAGGGATGGAGAAGGACAGCTAGGAGCTGCTGTTTCCCATGTGCTACAGCCCCCAGCCCAGGGCAGTGGGGGATGGATACTCACCCGGAGGAAGGAGTCAAGTGCACAGTTCTCCATGAACTCTGTGATGATCATGACAGGGCGACTCTTGGTCACCACACCCTCCAGGTGGATGATGTTGGGGTGGTCAAACTGGCCCATGATGCTGGCCTCACTCAGGAAGTCCCGTCGCTGCCGTTCCGTGTAGCCCACCTTCAGTGTCTTGATGGCCACGAAGATCTCGCGGCGGCCAGGCAGCTTCAGGCGCCCACGACACACCTCACCAAACTCCCCTGAAGCGGGGAAGGGGAGAAGGGGGCAGCATGGTGAACCACACAGCAAGGTGAGAAACAGTGGTCACAGCAGCTGTGCCCAGCCCTGCGGACTTACCTGCTCCAATGACCTCCTCAATTTTGACACAGGAGATGTCAATCTCTTTGGCGAATTCCCGGACGGCTTCATTGGGGTCCTCATAGGTGAAGGGGTCAATGTAGACTTTTACCCCAGGGGTGACTGCAGGGACACAGGAGTTGTCACCGGGAGGGATGCAACATGGGTGACAGATGCTGAGCCAGCTTGGCTGGCAGTCAGCCCACCCCACCCGGGTCCCGGCTGCCCCTTTGCCCTTCACTTGTGCATGGGGCAGGACTTGGGAGAGGGCAGGCAGAGTCCATTTGCTGGGCTCTCACACTCACCATATTGCTGCAGCTTCTCCGTGTACTCAGGGTCTGTGCTGTTGCGTTGCTTCCTGCCCAAAGGAGACGAGAGGAGGTGTTCAGTAACCATCCCTTTCCTGATGGGGCAAAGACATTCAATGCCAGCTTCCAAATCCCAGCACAGACAGTCTATGCCAAAGAGCTTCCCCTCTGCCAGCCTGCAAGCAGAGCCATCCCCCTGCCCGAGGTGTGATGAGAGAAGATGGCCTAGTTGTTCTGAGAGCGGATGGCAGAAGCCTGGGCAGAGCCCCAGCTGGTTCTGGGGAAGCAGAGATGCACAGTCCTCCCATAGGACCTGTGCTCTGGTACCCAAGTGCGGCAGCTCCAGTCCTTTGCTCTCAGACTAGAGCTGCCAGAGCTCAGGCAAGGGGAAAGCTCTGGGGCAGACATGAGCAACCTCCAACCCCCCTCTGAACCCCCACTTCCTGCAAAGCCAGTACCTGAAGCAGACTATAGCGATGATCACCACAACGATGACAAAAAGCAGCCCTGCAGTGGCCGAACCCACGATCAGAGGCAGCTCCTGGAAAGTCTTGCCTGTGGAGCCTGATGGTGGGAGAGGCAGGAATCAAAGTCAAGCTGGGGAAGGAGCACGCACAGGAAGGCTGGGGGACAGACGCTTCCCAGTCCTGGTACCTACCACCCTCTGCAGTGGTCTGAAACTCGGTGGGGAGGCTGTAGCGGCCATATCCAGCCACTGTGCGTGCCCGGACCTGCACCATGTAGCGCGCGTTGGCCTTCAGCCCATCCAGCCGCACCGAGTTCTTCTGGCTGGTGACCGTGTTGGCAATGCCATCGCTCTGGCCCTGCTGTAGGGGAGACACATGGGTGTCACCTCTATGAAGCAATCCCCCACCTTGCTGCCCCTCCATCCCTATGGCACTATCTTTGCAGGAACCCTCTTTGCCAGAATGGCTGAATGAGGGGAAAGGCTGCTCTGCCTCCTGCTTTACCTTCTCCGAGTACTTGATCTCGTAGTCAAGAATGATGCCATTGGGTCTCTCTGGGGGAGTCCACGACAGTGTCATGCTGTTCCCAGTGCTGCTATGCAGGTGCATTGTAGGCACGGCAGACGGGGCTAGACAAGAGGGCAAGGAAGGAATGAGCCATCTGTGCCAGACTTCTCCCTCCACCATCCTGTGTTGGCCTGGAACCTGCTTGGATGACCCCAGTGGAAATGGGTGGAAAAGCTTTTAGACTGGCTTCATGCAAATCTTCATAGGGGGGGTGATCTCATCATCTTACAGTCAAGGTGATAAGGGACCAACGGGACCCTTGGAAATAGAATTGAGGTAACACTTTGCCCCATGCCTAGCTGCAAAATGGCCTGGGGAAGGGTCCTGACAACCCAAAATGGGCTCCCTCCTATCCTCCAGCCACCAGGAGCTCCATGCTCCAGCCCACCAATGAGACCTGTGAACTCAGATCACAGCACAGCAGCTGGAGATTACCAGCATGCTGGAGCTGGGCCAGAGCAGGAGGAAGGAGGTAATGGCAGAGAAATCAGCTGGCTGTGAAGGTTTGGGCTGGTCCTGAGCCTTCTCAGGCCCACAGGGGAGAAATCTAATTTCCTTTGTCCTCCCTTCGCAGCAGGCACAACATCTCAGGGGTAGGTCTAGGAGACCCAGAGCTCTCAGGAGCATCTGCCAACCCTGCCCTTCTCCACTTGCACGCATTCTGATCTCATCTCCTCTGGGGACACGTGTTAAACGGAGAGAATTTACCCAGGGGATTAGATGCAGGCACAGAGAGCCAGTAACTTGGCAGCACAAAGGACTGCAGCCTTTGAGGCTGTCAGCAAGAAGTCCCTGATCTGCTCTGTGCTGGAGAACCACTGACCTGCCTGGTTGGTGGTGATGTTGACAGAGGCAAAGTGGGGAGGGAAGGGGCTCTTGTTAGAGATGCCATTCACAGCCTGGACCTCGAAGGTGTACTGGGTGTGGGCCATCAGGTTGCTGATGTAGATGCGACGCTCGGTGAGGCCGAGCTGGCGCGGCACGAACTCCACGTTGTCATCGCAGCGGGTGCAGAGGCGCCGCTCCACGCTGCACTTCTTGCAGATGACGTTGTAGAGCAGGTCATCCCGCCCGCCTGTGTCCTGCGGCTCACTCCACTCCAGCACCAGCGACGTCTCGTTCACATTGGAGATGACACTGCGGGGGGCAGAGGGAACACCTGCAGAGGAAAATACGGGGGTCAGGAATGGTGTGCCCCCAAGCCCAGCTCACCTCCAGCATGGGCACAGCACAGCCCCTCTTCCCCATCCCGGGCACGGACCACTGCTCCAGACCTCCCCTCCTCCCCCAGGGCAGGACTCACTGGTGCAGGCGCTGTCTGCGGGGTCTGTGTCTGCCCGGAAAAAGCTGTTCCTACATGTACAGACTGTTGCTGCTCCAGAGGTAGTCCGGCTGTTGGGTGGGCAGGGAGAGCAGGGACCTTCCCCCTGCTTAGATTTGAAGGTTCCTGGGCCACAAGCTGGAGGAACAGAGAACAGACTTGAGTTATAAAATGCAGCAGATAATATCCACCATCCCACCCAAGGCTGGGCAGACCATTCCTTGCTGCCCTGCCAAATTTCCCTTCACCTTTCCACCACTGTACCCAGGAAAGTGGTGCCCCCAGAACAGGGTAAGGGCTCAGCTCTGCCCAGGAGCTCTGTGCTCTGGCAGCAGACCTGGTGCAGCCAAGGATGGGAAGAGTCGTACAGACTTCGCAGCTGTACGAGCATCAGGGCAGGTCTAGCCAAGAGAGTCCATCCCCAGGTTTTTTTCTTTACTGTACTTCCCGAGGGTTTTGCACACATTAGCTCCCCCTTCCCCAGCTGGCTTCCATGCCCAGCATCCTCCATAGTGTCAGCGATCTACTGTCTGGGGAAATACGGCCGGGAAGGAAAGGATCCCTCAGCCCAGCCTGCAGCAGCCCCTGTGAGAGGCCTCCACTACCCAAATCATAACCACTCAGCCCCAAACCCTCTGCCTCGGGCTCTTCAGCCACTTCTGAGCTCCGGGGTGGTGGCACGTCCCAAGGCCAGCTCAAGTGGAACACTGAGCAAGATGAAAACATTCCTGCAGGTCCTCAGCTGAAGAGCTGCTTCAGCATTGCTGCCACCTCCTACCCCCACTTCCGACCAGGGTCCTTCAAGGAGACACAAATCCTGGGATCCGGCTGGCTGGCACTACTGGTGTTTAGTCATAATGAGGGGCACATCAGAGGATTAAAGGCACTTGAGCCGAGGAGCAAAGCAGCCTCAGGAACCCAAACTGGCACCTCAAAATAGCCCAATTTATACCAGAGCTGCCCCAAGGAAGCAGGTTCTGTACTCTGTGTTCATGTTCTGTTTTGGCATCATCCCATTTGCCGTGGCCAGAGTGGAATCACCAGGGTGGGATTAGGGCAGCTCCCAAGGGTGCGTAACCCTCCCAGCAGCCCCGTCCAAGCCACACACCAACCGGTAAACAGGAGGAGGTTTCCTGGTGTTTCACCAGGCTGTGGCAGGTGGAAGTTTCCTGCTATGAGGCATCTCCTGACATCTTTGGTGGAAATTTTCTGGCTGGTTTCAGCCCTGTACATGGGGCGTGGAGCACTGCTGAGTCACATGCTGCCCGGCCGGTCCTGCGGGGACCCGCACACGGACATCCTGGCCCCCTGGAGCTGCGTGCAGGTCCCCATGGGACCAGTCCAGCAGAATGTGAGAGGTTTGCCCAGGCACTGGATGGCAGCAGTGCCAGGGGAGCAGGCCCTCTTTATCGTGGTGCTGCTGGGAAGGGGGATGACCAAGCAGCTCCATCGTGGGGAGAGGCACCCTGCTGCCAAGGCAGGGACCTGCAGACTGTGCCCTTTCCAGGCCCTCCTGCCCGGATGGGTGGCTTCCTGCTCCCAGGGCAGGAGCCTTCCAGCAAGGAGACTCTTCTTTGGTCAAAACAGGATCAACCACATGGCTTGACTTGCTCCAGCTCCTTGACCTGAGTTCACCCAGCCTCTGGGTCTTCCCTTTGGAAATGACAGCTTAGCCCATCCTGACTGCGCAGGCCGGAGGGCAAAGGAGTGAGCAGACCTGCTCCTCTGTGAGCCATGGAAGCCCCTAGCCAGCAGGTTTAGGGCTCCCCTCCCCCCAGTCTGGGCCACGTTCAGCACCACGAAATGGAAAGATGTGGACAGCAGATGCCCAGAGGTAGTGGAACAGCCTCAGCTCAGGAAGACCCACCCCAGCCGGAGTCCTAGTCGGCTCAAACTGGGTGGATGCAGATTCACACATAAGGAACCAGATTGTTGAGGAATGAAGGATGACTGAAACCTCTTGGACAGGAACGCTCTGGGCTCAGAAAGCTGCCAAACATGCTTGGGTTATGGACAGGATCCCAGATCCATCAGGCACAAACCCCCCTGAAATAACGGGCTTCTTGGGGGAGAAAGCGAAGCTGGAGCACCCAGGGCTCATATGAAGCCAACAGCCCAAGCACAGCATGGCAGTGGGGGACAGTGAGGTGTTCTGCAAAGGATGCAGGAGGGATGATGGCACTTGGCCTCCTGCATACTCAGCACCAGCCAGTGCCCAGGGGGTTACAGACATGCAGGAGACAGTGACCTCCTGCACTCCCAGACACAGGAAGAACGGTCTAGCAGAGCTGTCTATGGACAGCCTGCCATCCCACAGGAGTGCCCAGCACAGGCATAAGGGTCATTTCTCTGCACCCTCATGGCACTCTGGCAAGAGGCGGATGAGCCATGTCCCAGCTCTGTAATGCTGGGGAAGAGCAGGAGAGGGACTGAGGCCCAGATGCACTCCAGTGTTTAAGTTTCCAACCCTGCTTAATAAATCAGAGTATAAAGACCTCGGTGGCAGCGTGACAGCTCTCAGCCGCCACATTTGAAGGCTGTAACTGAGCTGAAAGCTGATCCCAGGTCCCTGGTGGATAAGCCGCTGTGTCATCTCTCCTCTGCACAACCACTGTCTTGGCCAGCATGCTGGGGAGTGAGCCTGGGAGCTCTGGAGCTCTGTGACTTCATCCAGCTGGAGCCAGGGAGCTGGGCTCCCCTCTCATCGAGAAGTTTGCATAAGCACTTTTCCTAAAGTGTCTTCAAATAAAATAACAATCCTGAACCTCTGCACACAGATCACATTTCCTGATGCCGGGCTGTGGTCACCTCTGGGGAGAACATGACAGTCACTGACAGCCACAAGAAAACAGGTCAGGGAACCGAAGCGGAGCTCCCTGCTCTGAAAAGCAGCTGCTGGTTTGATGAGAAGGAGATGCAGCCAGGCCTGACAGCAGCGATCAGATGTGGAAGGGATTTATGTGGGGTGTGGGAGGGAGCAGGAGCCCTGGGGCTGCTGCAAAACTGCCCCTGCACCCTTTACAGAGCATCGCACACCTGGTATGGTACCCACCACTGGCCATCCGGCTGTTTCTAGCAGCCCCTCCAGAATTTTCATCAGTTGCTCACCTCCAGGGCCTGATCCTGACTCGTATTGCTGCAGTACAGGGCTGGGGGAAGAGAAGGGCACTCTTCCCAAATACAATCCCCACCCCAGTGAATAAAGTCCAAGGGAGGGAGCTGAAAAACAACTGAAATGAAACCCTCCTGGCAGCAGCGAGAGCCGTGACTCATCCCGCAGGCAGCCGCCATTACTGCATGGGATGCGGGCAAGCGACAACGAACCCCATATGCATCCCCAAAACTTTGGGGTTCCCTCCCTTGGGAAAGGGAGGGATAGCTCACAGCACATCGGGAAATACCAGCCCCAAACCACCCTATTTCAAGTCTCAACTGCTTTCCCATCCATATGACACTATTCAAGCCTGGGCAACATCCTTTCAGCTATTTCCCTCCATGTGGGGCTGAAGCAGAACACCTCGCTTAAGCCTAGATAAACTAAACCAATCACATCCCTTTGTCCAGCAACCCTGTAATTTCTTTAAAGGCAGCAATTGGGTTTGCCTGGGACGAACTGTGCTTTATGAACCTGCACGGCTCGCTCCCTTCCCGCTTTCGTAAGTGGCTGCCGATGGATTAGAGCCTTGGAAGCAACAGCCTGGCTACAGCCGAGGTGGTAACTCTCTTTTCAAGTCTCTCTTAAAAGGCACTTGATTTTTCTTTTTTTTTTTTTTCTTCTTTTTTCTTAAATCACCCTTTGAGTGGAAATATTTCATGCTAGCACAGCCCAAAAGTGAATGGAGTAAATTTGGTGGGGAGAGAAGGGAAA